AAAAAAAAAAAAAAGAAGTGTCCTTAAAATTTTAGGTGTGATAATGGTGTTATGGTTAATTTGTAAATAGTCCTTTTTTCCTTCTTCTTAAGAGGCTCATCCTGAACTATTTACTAGTAAAATGATGTAATGCCTGGGATTTTACTTCAGATAATCCAGGGAGCAAGGGGGTCAAGTGGCTGATGGTAGAAAGCAAGGGTCAGCACGCTTACAGGCCTGGACCAAATCCAGACCTCCGCCTGGTTTTGTATATAAAGTTTTATTGGAACACAGCCATGCTCATTCTGTTACATATTTGTTTAGTATGTGTGAGGCTCCTTTTGTGCTCCAGCTTCTGCAGAACGGAGGACTTGCAGTGGAGAACCATGTAGCCTGCAAAGCCTAAAACATCTACTAACTGGCCCTTTACAGAAAATGTTTGCGAATCCTTGTCTGTAAGGAAGCCAGTTCGGCTGTGCGTTCATAAAGGTTGACGCTGGGGGCTGTGCGTGCCGATTAGATTAGTCTTCATGTTTGTCTGTGTTTGGATCTTTCCATAATGAGAAGTTTAAAAAAACAAAACAAAACAACACGCTTTGACCCACTGTATCCCACTCCTAGGAATCTACCTGTTGGAAATGAAGGCATCGATTAATAAGGATACATGTATAAGCATGTTGACTAAAATGGTTAAAAAAAAAAAAGGCAAAACTGATTGCTTACCGGTATGGGAATGCTTGTATAAATCACACCGACCCGCACCATGGAATAGTATGCTGTCTCTTTAAAGAATGGGCTAGGAAAAAAAAAAAAAGAATGGGCTAGAATTTTGCCATCCCGCTTGGAGAATTTTTCATGAGCTATTTTCAAGTGAGAAAGGCAGGATGTAGAAAAGTCTGTACTTGGCGATCCCATTTCTATAGAACAGTGGCACAATTAACCCGTTTGGTGGGTAGAGGTGTATGTGCTCGTGTGTGTGTGTGTGTGTGTGTGTGTGTGTGTGTGTGTGTGATATGCATAACACATTAATGTGGCTCAAGGTGCATACCATCTACGGAAGGGGAGCACAGCAAAACAGGAAAAGGAAAATACCTATATTTAAACAGATCACGTGATACGATCCCGTTTGTGTGTTTGTGTTAAGTTGTATTCGTCTGTACACATGGCTGGCTACATTCCGAAGAGAGTTATGATTTTTAACACAACTGGAAAGCAGTGAACATTTTTAATGCGCTTTAAGTAAGGGAATAAAGGAGAATTTGGTTAGGGTTGGAAGATACCCAGAAGTGGGGAAAACGAGAGATGAGAGTGACCCCTGCAGACCCGGGCCAGCTAGGGAAGTCTCCATGGAAGGTTCTAGCGGTGAGAGAGGCGTGGCTGGATGGCCTTTGGGCCACAGCCGCTCCCTGATCTCAGCTCCTCTTCCTCCTGCTCCCAGAGAAATAATGTTTCCCTGGGGGATGAAAAGCATCCCTTTGTGCAGGCTTTAATTGCCATGTTGTTGTGCCAAGTGAATGAGTGGCAGGCAGGCATAGCAGCTGGGCACAGTCAATGCCAGGCAGCAAAGCCCGCTGCCTTAGGACAGCCTGGGCCAGCTGGCCTGGGAGCGCTGCCCACCTCTGCCCCCCACTGGGGGCCCTGTACAGGGACCGTGGGGCACAGGGGTCCTGGGGGAGCTGGGGAGGAGTCACTGCAGGGAGAGAAAGGGGTGGGGTGCCTGGGAGGGTCTCAGACACTAGGAGCGTATTCATCTCAGCCTCCGTTCCCCTCCCCCTTCCTCTTGTTTTTCAGACTGTCAGCATCAATAAGGCCATTAATACGCAGGAAGTGGCTGTAAAGGAAAAACACGCCAGAAATATCCTTTTGGATGTTGCTTGGAAGACCAACCCTGAGGCGGGTCAAATTGTGGGGGCTGAGGTCAGGGCGAGGTGTCCTTGCTCAGCTGCAGGAAGGGGAACCCCTCCACTGGCCAGGCCTCCTGCAGGGTTTAAGCTGCCTCAGTGGGCAGCAGCTGGCCTCTGAGACCACAGTTCATCAGGGTGAAGGGACCAAAGCTACCTCCTAGCTCAACTCTTTACAGCTTACCAAGGACCCCGCCCCTCGTAGGACTTCCCTTTGAGAGATTTCCTGGGGGCACAGGAGCAATTGTCAAAGCGCTCCAGACCCTGCACTTGGCCTATAGGGACCACACGGACCACCCGCTGGGAACATGATCATCTCCTCTTCTCTGGGCTCGAAAGCCAAAAAGCCAAAGGTCTCCGCTGCCTTATGCCCCGGGGGACCGGGGGGGGGGGGGGGGGGGAGATGGGCAGCCATGGAAATAAGATCCACCAGTGTGAGCTGGTTCACGCACAGTCAGCTGGGCAGAAGACAAGAACCTCACGGCAGCATAGGGAACTGGTGGTTTGGAGGTTTTCACCACCACCCCGCTACTCCCGCCCCCACCCCCATGCCAAGTTTGGCCCCAGGCAGCCACCCTCGTGGGGTGTGGCTTTGGAGGGAAGTGCAGGCTGCATGCTGGCTGTTGGATCCCTTGGGATCTGCCCTTGACGGATAGAGCCCAAGAGCTGGAGGGCTGACCCCCAAAGTTCCAAAGGCAAGGCTGCGCGAGTGGGGCGAAGCTATTGTTTGTGTGTGTGCCGGGGAGGAGCAGGGTACAGCCCGGGGCAAGGGGAGGCTGGGCTTCTCGTGGTGGCAGTAACAGCCGGGTCAGAACAGCTCCTGTGGAAGCCATCCCACCTCAGCCCCTAGAGGAGACCCTCCGGGTACGGTGGCCAGAGGAGCCCTGCCCCTCCAGCAGGATGCCTAGCCCATAGCAGCCCATTGGGAAGCATTGCTAACAGCACGTACTGCTCTTTACTGGTGGGTAAGCAGCTTGTCTTTGGTGGGAAGATACTTTGGTTGGACTTTAGGGCTTTGCTGCAGGCTGGGGGCTCTAGAACGTCTCCCAGGTACCCCAGAAACCTGGCCTGACCGTGGGCCTAGTTAGACCTTGCCCTTTTATCCCCAGAAAGGCACAGTCCCCTTGCTTTACCAAGTCAAGAAAAGCCCCGATGACTTTCTCAGGGGGAATGACCTGGTCCTGACCCCACTGCTAAGAATACTGATCCGTCCGATTGAGATATGAAATAAGAGACTGTTGTCGAGGTCAGTGTGCTTGGGCCACATCACAGCCTTCCAGGGAGGCTACCCGGGGTGATGGAAGGGGCACCACAAGGAGGTTCTGGAATTCCACCTCGGCAGCAGTCTGGCTCGCTCTGGAGCCTCGAGTGGGTCCAGCGGGGCCTCCGTGAGCCTTCGTCCCCTTGTCTGTCAAATGAAAGACTTGGCTGAAGAAGATTTCAAAGGTCTAACATTCCCACTCTCACCTTCCGTGAGTTTCTCTGCTTCACCATTTCTAAGAGGTGGATAAATGTTAAAAGCCTCTACTCCAAAGAGTAGGGTTTTAAAGCCTAAAGATACCGCAAAACATTTATTCTTTATTGATTTTTTTGGAGACCGTCAGCCCCTCTCAATCCCAGCTGAATAAGCATTTGGAAATCTGACGTCAGAAGTGCTGTTCAGACAGCCATTTATCCTGGGTGTCTAACTGTCCCCCTCCCCGCGCCCCCCCCCCCTGTGTATCCACTCCCAGAGGGCTAGGGACAGAGTTTTATTTATTTTTTTATATCCCTGAGTGCCTGCCTGACACGCAGTGGGTGCATTAAAATGCTTATGAAATCAAAGGACAGAAAGGTCTCCTTGCCTCTCAAAGTCGGGGTGCCTGGCTAGCTCTACACCTGCTCCCACTTCCGGTAAAGTAACCACAGTCTGCCGTGAGAAGTCAGCCTGTGAGAGGGGTTGCAAGCTGTCCAGCTCTCCTCTTGGCTTCCATCTAGCCTGAGGGGACTGTGCTTTAAGGGAAACTGTAGTTATTTCAGAAACCCCTCTAAGACCAAAAGCTGACATCAGCTTCCAGACCCAGAAGTCTGTGTTCAAGCCCACCCCCCTCGAAATGCAAATTTCAGTTTGGGGAAGGAACTTGTTGATACCTTCCAGCTCAGAAGCAAAACAACATGTGTTCTGGATGAATCATAGAGTTTCTGGCCCAAGGCAGGTCTTTCTGTCCTGCATGGCACCCCGCTTCTTACCTGAGCCTTGACAAAGAAGCCTGTAGTTCTGGGGAAAGACCTACACTTGGAGTTGATGGTGCCCAGTTGCTGGGTATGTGAGGCCCATATAAGCGCTAACTTAAAATCATGCTAGACCAGATGGACGTTTATTACATGCAGGTTGTGGCAGGGAGTCTGTGGGTGCATTTGAAATTGGATCTCGGGTGGATGTGGTCCCAGGATTCCATATACAGCGAGTTCAAGGTATAGGGAAATGCATGCACCAAGAAGCATAAACCAAGAAGGTTTATGGAAAGGGGGGTGTATAAGAGTCATTTTAAGTTTTGGGGAAATGCTTCCAGTTACGGAATGACTAAATCAGGGGGGATGCAAGGTACAGCATCGGGAATATAGTCAATGGTATTGAAATGGTGTCATCTGGTGGCAGACCGTAGCTATATGTGAAGTTGTCTGATCACTATGTCGGATACCTGAAATGAATGTACGTTGGGTGCCGACTATACTTCAATAAGGAAATAAAGCACAGAAAACAGCAGAGTGCCTGTATGGAGAGGAGTCAGGTGCTGCTTGGAAGAGGAGCCGAGGTGTCCCCACCAGGGCCAGGGCCCCTGATGAAGAGCTGAAGCCTGCCCTCACTTCTGAATACTGGATAAGAAAGAACTTTGAGACACTGTAATGTATTGCTAAAATGTGAGCTGTTATTATTCCCCGAAAGACCCCATCACACCCTCAGCCAAACCCAGGGGAAGGGCAGAGTCTTCCTCCCACAGCGAAGCCCTTCTTTCAACCAAAGCATCTTCCTGCTAAAGGTAAACCAGGACCGCCACTGGCCCAGAGCACGCTTGTAAAACTGGAAAAGGCCCATCCATGCCTTTGTTTTCCATGACCCCCCCCCCCACCATGCATACTGGGCACCCACCATGAGAAAGGGGCACAGACCTTTTGGTCTGTTGTCAACCGGCTACCCCTCTCTAGCAATGCTGTCCTTTGCTGGAAGTTCTGCCACGTGTTTCACAAACTCCTCCGAGATGGACACCCGAACGTGAGTTCCTGGGACTGCAGGGGCTGGCCAGGGGGCCGGGGACCCATGTGGGGAAAGTGGGATCGCCTGGGGGAAAGGGGCACTGTCCACTCCGGCACTGGGGGGGGCAGCTGCCCCCTTCTCCTGGCCTTTAGGTTGCTGGTTGGAGGTAGACTTGTCTGTCTGTCAGCCTCTCTGCCCACCCCAGCCCCATCTTACACCATCCTCTGTCTCCTTGCCTTCTCTTCTCTCATCAGCTCTTCTCTTCCCTCTCCAGGTCCTGAAGGACTCCCTGAGATACAAAAATGAATTGAGTGACATGAGCAGGATGTGGGTGAGTTTGGAGATGCACCCAGGGGCCACCTGCACCTGCTTCTCCTTCCCCAGAGGCCACAGAACAAGGACTGTGGAACGGAATGAATTCCTCTCTTTCAACTTGCTTAGGATTTCTCTCATGACCATCAAGGAGGGGTCAGCAATGGCCCCAAATAGTACCATGATATCCACGGTCTTACCTGGGGACCCTAAAGTTGTAGGGAAGTTCTAGGGCCTGGGAGTTTCTCCTGCCAATGGAACCTCACATCGTAATGCTCTCTGGGCATTGGATCCCTCAGCAGTGACTTTGCCACAATTCCTGTGTCTTTCCTTCTGCTGGTCCCATGTGGGTCACAGTACATTGAGAACTAGCATTCCCAATTCTTAATGCCAGTACCTTTTCTTTCCCTTCTTCCCTGGGAATCTAGAGATTCTCAGTGCCTTAGGATGGGGGAGGAGGTAGGTGGTGGTATTGGAATCAATTGGAAAAGAAGGTTTTTATACACACACCAGGATCCCTCTAGATTCTGTTGTCCAAGGAGTATGTGTATTGATGGTGCATAATCTGCATTTTGAAGACTTTCTTGGGTTGATTCTGATACGTCTGTTTGCCCCCACTGGTTGAGAGCTCTGGCCCTTTCCTTCAAATTCTTACTTCTACTCACAGAATGTTAGCAATTGTGGCATCCAGTCCACCCAGTGCTGATGAGAATACAGGCCCAGAGAGGGAAGCAGCTTTTCCTACATCACAGGCTAGTTGGTCTGAACAAAGCTGAGAGTTGTTCCCAAACCTCCCAGGTGCATGTTGGAGAGCTTTCAGTTATATCTCAAAACATGGAAAGCTTGGGTCTTCTTCTTTTTTGTTAGAATTTGCCTGGTGTATCTTTTTCCACCCTTTTACTTTTGACTTTTCTATATTCTGTGTCTTAGAAAAGTCCCTTATAAATAGCATTTAGTTGGATTTTGTTGTTGCTTTTCGTCAAGATGGCAGTCTTTGTCTTTTAGCTGTACATTTACCCCATTTATGTTTATTATAATGCAAAATATTTTTAGATTTATACCTTCCATCTTAGTTTGTGCTTTCTCTTTGCCCCTTCTGTCTTGTTTCCGTTTTTCTTCATTCCTTGTCTTCTTTGGATTGATTGGGTATTTTTTTTCTCGTCCCATTCTCCCCTTATTACTAGTTAGGAGATTTTTTTTTTAACTCTGCTTTTATTTCTTACCCTTTGGTATGTTATCCAATAATTACAAAATGCAAGTTTAGTTTATCAAGAGCTAAAATTCATGTCTTTAGCTGTTTCCTCTATAACACAAAGACCTTAGAATATTTTCACTCCATGCCCTCCTCTAAACTTGTATGTTATTGTTGTCATGTATTTTAATTTTGGTTTTGTTTTTCTTTTTAGACTATAAGATATTTTATTTTAATTGTTTTATTCTGTCCTCTTTCTTTCTTTACATTTGCATTCTAACATATGGGGTCACTTTTTTTTCTGCCTGAATTATTTCCTTTAGTGAGAATCTCATGGTGGCAAATAACCGCTTTTACTTGTTTGGGAATGTCTTTATTTCACTCTCCTATGTGGAAGATACTCTCTCTGGGTGACAGTTATTCTGGGTGACAGTTATTTTCTCTCAGCACATGGACGATATTATTCAAGATATCCTTCCACTGACTTCTGGATGCCATCATTTCCATGAAGCTGGCTATCAGCGTCATTGTCCCTTCTTAAAAGCAAATGTGGTTTTCCTCTGACCATTTTAAGACCATACTAGGAATAGGTGCAAATTTATTTGGGATTCTTTAGACTTCTTGAATCTGTGGGTTAATATCTTTTATCAGTTACAAAAAATTCTCTGTCTCTTCAACTATCACCTTTGCTCCACTCCATATTTACCCCTGAGACTTTGGTTATGTCAGTTTTTCCCACTCTATACCCCAGTGCCTTTTTTTTTTTTTTTTAAGCTCTATGTCCAACATGGGGCTTGAGCTCATGACCCTGAGATCAAGAGTTTCATGCTCCACCGACTAAGCCAGCCAAGTGCCCCTCTCACCCCATGTCTTTAAACCCCTGTTTCATCGTTTTCTTCCTGTTTGCCTCGTTACAGCATTCTGGGTAATTTCAGTAAATCTAGCTTTCAGTTCATTTGTTGTTCCCTTTTCAGCTGGGTCTAATCTGTTGTTAAACCTCTTCATAAGATTTATAATTTTAGTCTAGCTTTTATTTCTTGGAGTTCTTTTTTTTCCCCCAAATCTGCTTGTCATTTTTTATGATTTCTTGTCATTTTTTATGATTTCTTATGTATTTTGAAACAGCCTCTTATTTACTTAGACAAATTAGACAGTGACCTCATATATCACTTCTTATACTTCTGTTATCTAAAGCCCCTCGAGATCTGTTCCTGCCATCCGTTGTTTTTGATGAATGTTGTTCATGCTGTGGAGTTTCTTTTTGTGCTTATTTTTTACTGTGCATTGCTCATTTTCCTGGGAATCGTATTTGTGGGAACTCTTTCAAGTCATGTTCCTCCAGAGAGAACGGGCATTTCCTTCCATTGAGATCTCTCTAAATTAAATTCTCAATTTAAGGCTTTGTGAATTCCAGGCAGAGCCCCTTGAGCTCTGCCTCCTGGGTCCAATTCCCAGAAGTTTTTTTTCCCTCCCTCTGATCATAACAGTGGTTTGAGGTCCTCAGGGAGGACTCTTTTGGTGCAGGAGTGCTGGGATCTACGTTATTTCCAGTTCACCCTTGGTTCCTCTACCCCAGGGAAGCAGTCTTTGCCTCTTCCACCAGACTCTTCAACGTGGGCAGGCCAGAGCCCTGCCTCCTATTCACCACCTGGTTCACGTGGCGTGGCAAAACCCCTGTCTCCACCAACTCCATCACCCCAGCATTCCACTTATTCACCTGGTACCTGTGTGGACTCAGTCCCTGACCTGAGGATTCCTTAGCCTCTCATTAGTTCATTAATGCCTTCAAAAAGAAGTTTTAAATATTTTACCCAATATTTTAGTAGTTTTCAATGGGAAGGTCAACCCAGATACCTAGCCTGACTTGTTATCCAAACTGGAATTCCTTTAGGCCTTGCTTCCTATGTAGTGTTCTCTTCCATGTGGCTGAGAGTTTTTGGATATTAGAAACCTTTTTACTTTTTTTTTTTAATTAAGACCTAATTTTTTTAAAGATTTATTTATTTATTAGAGAGAGAGAGAGAGCATGCACACCTCAGTGGGGGGAGGGGCAGAGGGAGAGAGTGAGAATCTCAGGCAGACTCCTCGCTGAGTACGAAGCCCAACTCAGGGCTCGATCCCAGGACCCTGAGATCATGACCTGAGCCGAAATCAAGAGTCGGCCACTTAACTGACTGAGCCACCCAGGGACCCCCTTATTTTTTTTTAGAGCAAATTTTAGATTCACAGCAAAATTGAGCAGGAAGTATGGAGATTTCCCATATACCCCCTGCCTCCAAACACGTGTAGTGACCCCCTTTATGAACATCCCCTGCCAACATAGTACATTTGTTACAAGTGATGCACCTTCACTGATAACATCATAATCACCTGAAGTCTGTAGTTTGCATTATAGTTCGCTTGTGGTGTTGGGGCATTGTGTATTCTGTGGCTTTGGACAAATGTATCCGGACATGTACCCATCACAGTGGTATCACACAGAATAGTTTCACTGGCTTCAAAAATCCTCCGTGCCCCACCTATTCATCCCTCCCCACCTCCCCCAGCCCTTGGCAACCACTGGTCTTTTTACTGTCTCCACAGTTTTGCCTTTTCCAGAATGTCATGGAATTGGAATCATACAGTATGTAGCCTTTTCAGATTGGCTTCTTTCCCTTAATAACATGCAGTTAAGGTTCTTCCATGTCTTTTCAGGGCTTGATAGCTCATTTCACTTTTAGTGCTCGGTAATATCCCATTGTCTGACTGTACCACAGTTTATCCATTCACCAACTAAGGAATGTCTTGGTTGCTTCCACGTTTTGGCCGTTATAAATAAGGCTGCCATAAATACCCATGAACAGGTTTTGTTTGGACATAAGTTTTCAACTCCTTTGGGTAAAAGCCAAGGAGTGCCATTGCTGATTTGTGTGGTAAGAGTAAGTTTAGTTTTATAAGAAACTGCCAAACCGTCTTCAAAAGTGGCTGCATTAGGGGCGCCTGGGTGGCTCAGCCGGTAAGTGTCTGCCTTCAGCTCAGGTCATGATCCCAGGGTCCTGGGATCGAGCCCCACATCGGGCTCCCTGCTCAACGGGAAGCCTGCTTCTCCCTCTCCCGCTCCCCCTGCTTGTGTTCCTCTCTCGCTGTGTCTCTCTCTGTCAAATAAATAAATAAAATCTTCAAAAGTGGCTGCACCATTCTACATTCCCACCGAGCAATGAGCAAGAGGTCCTGTGGCCCACATCCTCACGGAATTTGGTGTTATCCGTATTCTGGATTTTGGCCATTCTCACAAGTGTGTACTGGTATCTCAGTGTTGTTTTAATTTGTGTTTCCTGGTAACATACGAGGGGGAGCATCTCTTCGTACATTCATTTGCTATCTTCTTTAGACAGGTGTCTGTTAAGGTCTTTGGCCCATTCTTTAATCAGGCTGTTTATCTTCTTATTGTTGAGTTTTTTTTTTTTTAAGATTTTATTTATCTATTTGACAGACAGAGACATAGAGAGAGAGGGAACACAAGCAGGGGGAGTGGGAGAGGGAGAAGGAGGCTTCCCGCGGAGCAGGGAGCCCGATGTGGGGCTTGATCCCAG